ACATACCACCAAATTTGCTCTTCAAACTCATTATTTTGGCGAGCCCTTTCTCTAGTGTCGATGGGAACTGTAATAGCCGGAGAGTGTGTCCCGTTGGTGCTGTATCAAACACTATTACAGAGTAATCCATTGTTTTCACCAATCTAGAAAGGAGAAAATCAAACGAAAATCATGTCCAAACGATAAAGAAAACACCAGAACTGTAAATATAACCAGAAAACAGTATATCTATCATAGAATAAAGCTTAAAAGCACTGTCAATGTACCATAACAAGATGTAACTTAGCAATGAAAAATGGTAGAAAGATGATTAGCTGTATAGGATTCTGACGTCCAGGAAAAGAAAAGCAAACAATAATCCAGTTTCACTTATAAATAGCAATATGTATTATTCCGAAGTGGAACCTCCTTGTGCAACTCAGAATATCTTTACTTTGAACCACTGCCATTGCCCTGGTTTTAATCGTAGTTTTGCCTGATAAGCGACAGACAACTTGACCCCATTTAGTGAGAAAAATACAAGTAATCTCCTTCATCTCTACTTCTAAAGATTCTATATATGATACTACTGAATGAAGTAGCTCAAATGAGCTGCCCGACAGAGGAAAGTTGGTCATTTTTGACTAATATACTCTAACAACTCAAATTCAAAACCATATTGTGGACTTCCTTGTATCTTTCTGCAAAGTAACTGAAATCATGAAAAATAAGGAAAAAGGGCCACGCGGCTGAGAGACGTTATAAATTGAGAAAGAAGCAAATGTTTAAACGAGTTAAGACTTGGGCACAAAATCAACCAGTTTACAGGCTGCACGAAAGATCAACCAAGACAAAATTCAAATCATTCTCAAAGTTGGAAATTGAGTGTTTCTTATGGAATGCATCACCAAAGAAAGAATTTTTCCTATACATTATAGGTGTTGAGGGCAGCTCATATAGTAATTAGTAATGTAAGGTGTAGCATTAACTTGCTGATACAGCTTTCAACCTCATAATTGGGAAGGTGATATCTCAGTCCTGTCCTTAATCTAGATTAAGATCTAATGCTGAAAGTTTAAACTCAAGCCAAATGCCTAAACTCCTCTTAACATCAGTTGAAATGAGTCTAAACGAAACGAGAAACCTGAATCTTTAGAAAACGAAACAAATTAGTTGCAATGATCCTCTTCAAGTTGCTTGATATACTTTGTATTATCTCCAAACATCCCTTTTTCTTCCCATACGTTCAATCGACTATACCACATTGTATATTATCATTTAGGAATCACATAAGACTTTAACTTATTTTTCTTAACATCTTTTGGGGGGAGGGGAAGCTATAATCTGATTTATGTGCTCTGTCACTTACTTTAGCATCTCCGCGAAACTCATAGCTTCATCAATTCCTGGAACTGCATTTGCCAAATCCGAGAAAAAACCGTCCACTCCTTCTGAACCACCTTCTTCATTCTCTATAGTTGGATCAACTTCCTAAAGAATACAACTTCAATCATAAAAATCATTACCCCATAACAGCATATCAGAACAGAATTGACCATAACCTGAAAATGCTACACAATTGGATAATCATACAAACAGTAAAGATCACCCTTTGAAATCACTGAAATATAATTTACACACATTATACTCGGTAACAATGAGTATTACTCAAAATTTAAAAGGGTGTCCAGATGAATAATTCCTTTACTTTCTCCTCTTTCCCATCACACCCCATGCCACCGCACTCAAAAAGAAGTAAAAAGAGAAAAAAACTACTAGTAACTACGCCATCTGTTTCACTTTATCTGGCATTCCTTCTTTATTAGTTTGTTCCAAAAAGAATGACATCTTTCTATATTTTAAACTAATTTAACTTTAAACTTTTCTTGCTTTTATAGCAAGTAAATGACATTGTCATATAAATTGAAACAGAGGAAGTATATCTTTTGTCATACTTTCATCAATTAAACAATAATACCAGGGGTCTGTTTACTTGGACGGAATGTTTCACATATAGAATATCTTCTCTAGAAAATCTTTTAGCTTTGGAAATCAACCTTTGGATACCATTTTCTGGTGTTTGGTTGAGTATAAAAGCAGGTAAGAAATGGTAATGGTACAAGGTGCATGATACTCTATACGCCGTTAGCGTAAGAGAATTTCGACATCATCATTGTTATCTAAAAGATAAGTACATGTAGCTACCCATACTAAGTGATATAGTTACCAGAACAAAAAAGGGGTACAAAAACAACTTAGGCAACTTGCTATAACATGTTTAATTACATGGATAATGTAAAAAAATCTTTACACTATCTGTTAGTGGCGGAGGTAGAAGCCGAGCTACGGGTTCGGCCGAACCCAGTAGCTTTGCTCGAACACTGTATCTGTGTTAAGAAAAACATTAAATGTGGACAAATATTAAATTTAAAACCTAGTCATTAGCACTTGAAATCGTCATTCTAAAATCCAGAACCCATAAGGTCGAAATCCTATCTCCACCTCTACTATCTGTATATATAAGTTAAATTCTAAGGTCTAACGTCAATGATTGGATAATAATTCCGAGTATTTAAAGTTGGAGTATTTTCAATCCATAAGTGAAAAAGTCATGTTTGATGAAAAAAAATTCTTCTACAATAGAAGTAGATCCAAAATTTTGAACTTTATGCGTTCGAGTTCGGGATTCTATCACAGCTCAACAACAACAGCATACCCGGTATTATCCTACACCGTGGGGTCTGGGGGAGGGTAGTGTGTACGCAGACCTTACCCCTACAAGTCTGTGTACTTATTTATCCCACACTGTGGGGTCGGGATTCTATCACAGCTCAACAACAACAGCATACCCAATATTATACCACACCGTGGGGTCTGTGGAGGGTAGTGTGTACACAAACTTTACCCCTACAGGTCTGCATACTTATTTATCCCACACTGTGGGGTCGGGATTCTATCACAGCTCAACAACAACAACACACCCAATATTATACCACACCGTGGGGTCTGTGGAGGGTAGTTGGGGAGGGTAGTGTGTACGCAAACTTTACCCCTACAGGTCTGTGTACTTATTTATCCCACACTGTGGGGTCGGGATTCTATCACAGCTCATTTGATGTAATTGTAGTTATTTAGTGAATTTTTTAACACATAAGCCAAAGCTACTGGTTCGGCCTAATCCACTGAGTCAGGTAACAAAACACCAAAAAATGATATGATCAAGTGAAAACATTATACCAAACACAACTAATTCAACAAATAAACAAGATCCATAGGAGCCGGGAGTGAGAGCAAATTACCATGGCGTACAAATTGGTGAAGCCATTAACGACGGTTGGAGTTTTTGCAAAACGCTGTTGAAAAGCATCGCTGAGATTGTGAGCTGGATCAGTAGAAATTATGAGAACAGAAGATCGGACCTGAGAAAGAAGAATTCCAAGAACAGAACTGCATGTTGTTTTCCCAACACCACCTTTTCCACCTACAAATACCCATTTTAATGTGTCTTGTTCCATTAAATTCTGCACTGTTCCTTCTGGTATTTCTTGATTATTATTCGAAGCCATGAAATATAGAAAATGACACAACAGTTTAATTATATAGTTGATCACTGGCTAGTACTGTAGTAATTAAGAAGGGTGTAAGGGATCTGATTTTGATACAGGAAATTTGTTGTTTGATGATTCATTTTTGAGGCACAAAATTATGACAATGTTAAATCTCCAAAAGTAACAAAATTGATAACCCCAATTTATTATTTTATAGAATTACATTTTTAACTCCATATTTTCCGTTTTAGCTTAAATGGTTTTATTGTTTAAAGAATTAAATTTAAACATTATATTTATATTTTGAGTTTAATTGCCGGAAACCAAGGGCAGACCGGTGCACTAAGCTCTCGTTATGCGCTGGGTCTAGAGAAGGGCCGGACCATAAGGGTGGATTATACACAGTCTTCCATTTTCATAGTGCCAGGCATTATTTACTGGTCATTATTTATGCCTTTTATCTATTCCGTACCGATATATTTTCTCTTTTTTTCTTTTCGTCTTCTTGAGCCGAGGATCTATTGGAAACAGGCTCTCTACCCCATCGGGGTAAGGTAAGGTCTGCGTACACACTACCCTCCCCAAACCCCACTTGTGAGACTATACTGGGTCGTTGTTGTTGTTTCACGGCCTGAACCCGTGACCTCCTGGTCACATGGCAGCAACTTTATCAGTTAAGCCAAAGCTCCCCTTTTATTGCCGGAAACCAAACACTATATTATTAATACTGATAAAAGTTACACGAAAATTTATATATTATTTTACATGTGATAGAATATGAATTTAAAATATGTGATATGTCATTAAAGTAGGGAATCCTACTATAACAATCTCTGTTGTCGTGTTCACTATATAGTAATCCATGCATTATTATTCGATAATAATATATGCATTATTGTTTATCGTATAAAGAAGCCATACATTATTATTATCCATCGTATAAAATTTCTGTTGTTATAATTTATGCATATGATTAAACGTAAGCAAATCGACCTCTTTATTATTATTTAAAGAATTACATTTAAACTCCATATTATCCTTTATAAAAACTTTTGTTGTCTAAAGTAATAACAGTTTTATTGTTGAAATAATTATATTTGAGCTCCGTATTTTCTTTTTATTTTAATTATTTTTTTTAAAAAATTTCTCCCTTATTTGAGACAGGTGTTTCAAGGGAATACACAAGAACAGAGGGGGGTTAATCCCTTTCTTTCTTTCTTTCTTTCTTTTTCTTTTTCTTATTTTTTGGATAATAAGGCCAACTAATCAAGTTAAAATACACATATCCTTGCAAAATTGCTAGATGGTACTTAAATTATTAATTTTCTCATTTTGTTGTTTAGACAAACATAAATATGAGTCATTAATTACACCACTATCATTGTGCATAAAGTTAGCCTTATTGGATATTCTAAACAGATCATAATTTCCTGCTTAAATTAACAATCTTGAAAAATGTAAATAAAAATCCAACAACAGAATAACTAGTTTTTGACACATATTAAAACAGAAACAGAATCTAGCTATCAATATTATAAACATATCTTTCTTTAATTCTAAACATATTATTTCCTGCTTAAACCATCCTCAAAAAATTGTCACATAAAATCCCAACAACAATATAACTAGCTTTTACACATAGAGAATAACAGAATATAGCTAGCTACTAATTATACTATATGAATATAAATGCCTAATATTATAACCAAAAAAATCTTCAAATTAATCATCAGAATCAGAATCACTTGTTATTGGCTTTGGATTCTTTGCATGTAACACACTACGTTGAAACCAATTCTTGTCCTTAGCTTTCTCAAAAAATGGTTGTCTCAATAGCCTTTCCACATTTGGCCTTTTTCTTGGGTTTTTAGCCAAACAATCCAAAACCACCTTCTCAAATTCTTTAGAAAATAGCCTTTTTTCTTCTTCTTTCTTTTTTCCAACTTTCTCCTTAAAATATCCCATAACTTTCTTAATTTTCCCTTTTTTATCATTATTCTCCTCAACCAAATTATCATCCTCTTTCTCTTTTCCTAATTTCAATTTATCCTTAAAAAATCCAACAACTTTTTTCATTTTCCCATCATTTTTCTCTTCTTCTCCTTCTTCTTCAATTGGATAAGTAATTTCCTCAAATAAATCTTCTAATCTATTTGGCAATTTTTTTGACTTTCTTATTTTGTTAATCATATCATCAAAATCTTCACGATCACATATTCTTATATTTCCATATGCTAATTCCAATGCTGTAATTCCAACTAGCCAAATATCAGATTTAACACTATAGTCATTCTCAATATCATCAGATTCAGAATCTTCATATGTATAATAAACCTCTGGTGCAGCTGCCCATGCAGAAATATTAGTTAGAGGTGGTACCTGTTGCAAAATTAAATTATATATTTAGAATATAAATTATAGGAATAAAAGGCTAATTAAGACAGTAGATAAAAAAAAAGGTAAAGACTTTTAACTTAGTAGGGATTTGAACATTTTTGCTAATCAATGTTTGTGTTACTATATTAATATTCAACAGTACCGAAGAGGAAATAATATTCACATTTTAATTCCAAATAGTTATTTTTTTCAATTTCAACAAAATATTTTCTAAATGGGCATTATCATAGAAAAAAAAAACAGAAATTCCTCAAGCAAAAAACTGAATAAATAAAATTTTGAAATATTAATATTCAACAGTACGAAGAGGAAATAATATTCACATTTTCAACTTTAAATATCATTGTTTTCAACTCCAAATATTATTTTTTTCAATTTCATCAAAATATTGTCCAAATTAAATGAGTATTATCAAAGAAAACAATAAAGCGAACCTGCCTAAATAAGAAAAATTTACTAGCACAATTTAACAACACACATAATTTAATAGTACTATCATTTTGGCTAACAAATTGAGAAAAACAGAAACTACTCAAACAAACAAAAAAAAAATCGAATAAATCAAACTTAGAATATAAATATTCAAATTGACGTTCTTGAGTAATATTCACATTTTCAACTTCAAATATTCTTCTTCTTTTTTTTCCAATTTCATAAAATATTATCCAAATGAGTATTATCAAAGAAAACACTAAAGTAAACTTGCCAAAAATCTAAAAAAAAATTAACCTACTACCACAATTTACGCACATAATTTATTATATCATTTTGTCTTATCAAAAACTGCTCAAACAAACAAAAAACCAAATAAATCAAACTTAGAAATATGAATATTCAACTTGACGTTCTTGATTAATATTCACATTTTCAACTTCAAATACTCTTTTTTTTTTCAATTTCACAAAATATCAACCAAATGAGTATTATCAAATCAAACAATAAAGTAACTGCCTAAAATCTAAACAAAAATAACTTCCTAGCTATTACAGTTTACGCACATAATTTATTATACCATTTTGACTTAACATAAACTACTCAAACAAACAAAAAACCGAATAAATCAAACTTTGAAATATTGATATTCAACTTGGCGTTCTTGATTAATATTCACATTTTCAACTTCCAATACTCATTTTTATTTTCAATTTCACTAAATATCAACCAATTAATGAGTATTATCAAAGAAAACAATAAAGTAACACTGCCTAAAATCTAAATAAAAATTAACCTCCTAGCTAGCTAGTACAATTTAAGCACATAATTTATTACTACATCATTTTGACTTAACAAATTATGTGAAAAAAACAGAAACTACTCAAAAAAAAAAAAAAATTAGAAATTCTCAAACTGAATATTACGTACCGAAGAGTCTCCAGCATCTACTTCTTTATTCACTTTGAATTGAGGATCAGAATCATAACCAGCAGCTCCAAAAGCCAATTTGATCTCAATTTCCGCATCAACCTTAGATTTATTAACAAAAATATTCCCAGCATTGAAATATTTATGAATTCTACCAGAATTATGAATATCCAATAAACCAATTAATGCTTCTTTAAGTGCAATAGCAATACAATCTTCAGGCAAACCATAGTAAAAATTTGAAGAAAGAATATAACGTAATGATCCTTCAGACATATATGGTATTCCAACCAAATATCCATTATCTTCAAATCTACGTATAAACCAAGATTCAATATTAATAATATTCCGAGTTGAAATTTTCCCTGTTGCAGTAAAACTTGTTCCAATATCTGGATTACCTTTTCTCAGATATTTTACTGTAACATAACCATTGGTATGTTTATCACGTGAGAAATATACAGCTTTGTATACATAATCTAAACCTGAAGTACCGATAACTTTTTGGAATAAGTAAGTAATATCAGTTTTTGGATCTGTGATTAATCTTCCAACTTTTGGACGATAAACTCTTGTGGTTCTTCTACCCATAATTTGGAGAAAAATTTCTGGGATTTAGGGTTTGGTTTCAGGTGAAGACAAATGAAGAAGAAGATGAAGGGTTTATAGTGTATTTATATGAGTAACAGAATCAAGAACTTGAGTCTGAAAAGCCGTTAGAATGGCGCGGTTGAGTTCCGTTTTTCAGTTTTTTTTTAGCTTCTCTTAAATTGGGAGGGAGGGGGGGGGGGGGTAAGAATTTGTTATAAAGTATGTTTAAAGGGAGCACCGACTTATTTTTATGTGAGTTTTAATTCTAAAATTAGAATAATATATGTCCAAATTGAGGCTGAAAATTTAAGAGTTTAAGGTATATATAGATTGTTAATGTAAGGATTTCTCCTTTCGTAGAGAATATATACTTTTAGCCCCTTTAAACAATAACAGCACGTAAAATGTATAATTTTTGTGTGTATATATATATACACACACCCAAGGATAACTCTAGTATGCCTCTTTTTCTTTTTGGGATTTATAATCTTAAAAATAAAACAGGTTACTTGGAAAACTGGTAAAAATAACCCCATGATATAAAAATGAGCAAAATACAAAATTTACTTTTCGGTCGAAATTAATTGCATTCGCTAGCCAGAAATATATAACATATGTACTACAACAACAACAACAACCCATTAAAATCCCACAGTGGGGTCTGGGGAGGGTAGAGTGTACGCAGACCTTACTCCTACCCTAGAGGGGGTAGAGAGGCTGTTTCCTGGAGACCCTCAGCTCAGATACAATAGATCTGTGTATCTAGGATCAATTCAGGTTGTAATGTAGGCTAAGGGATGGGTATGATACATTAGAAATAGTGACTAACCCTCCTAAGCACTTTAATACACTACATTCACAATTTAAACACATATTCTTCTCAACCAATTCACTTGCCACAAATCATATACAATATAGCCCTCTTTTTTTTCTCTTCAATTAAGCACTTCTATACTTCCACTAGCACAATTTGATAAGAATCGGAGGTGTGTGTTTTTCTACATACTTTAACTATCATTTCTTTTCTTTTTCTTTTTCTCGGTGTGTGTTTTTCTACATACTTTAACTATCATTTTTTTCTTTTTCTTTTTCTTCTTTTTTTTTTCTTTTTCTTCTACACACACTTCATACATTAAGGTTTATCCGCTAGTGACTTTTGATTTCAACTTTAGTGCACCAACGGGCCTTTCCATGGTTCCACTCAAAAATTACTCCCCAATATCTCACCTTACTTCTTTTAGCGACTAAGTGCCTTAGGAGGTAAAGGTTCAACAATCTCAAATCAAGAACAAAATAGGGGTATGGCCTTTAATGTGGGTGCCAAAGAAAAGGTCTATAGGCTCAAAGGGGCAACGAAAATTTTTATTTTTATGTGACAAGCACATCTAGGATCAAGCAAGAAAATGCCTACGTCATCTCCTAAATTAGCACAACTTATAATTTCGCTTCGATTAACACACGGGGGCAAGTTCTAGACTACACAGGATAGCACAGAAGATCACAAATCCTCACACACACATTGCACATGACTCAATCAAGACGGTTCTGTTCAACTCTCAAGTCAAGCAAGCACACATAATTGAGAAATTTAAGCAATATTGCAGTATGTGGCATACAAGTCAACAACTGAGCTAAGGCGTCACAAAATAGGCTATTTACTTTACTTAGACGTCACAATTCAAATCAAATACACGGAAAGATAGAATGTATGTCATAGCCTAATGTGCCAGCACCAAACACGTCAATGAGTATCTCAGAGCGACTCAGTTTCTTCCTAAACTACTCCTAAAAAAAATAAAGTATCTGATTCGAGCTACACCCTTGGAAAAGAACCGGCGCCCAAATAAAAACCAAGGGATACTACCTGACTATTCTAAAAAAAAAAAAGGTAAACTCTTTTTGGTATTTTTAATCGGACTTAATCCCTCAAGAAAATTATCTAAAAGATCCATCGTCGGGAAAAGTTCGAGCTTTTTCTAAATTTTTTCCCTTTTTTTTGTTTTTTGTATTTTTATAAATTTTTTTCTTTTGTTTAAAGCAACTAAACTAAAACTAGACTAACTAAAAAAACTAAACTAGAATAAATAATAATAATAATAAAAGAAACACATTAAAACTACTAAAAGAAACAAATTACAACAAGTTGCTACAAGATATACAACTACAGCACATGTAGTATTCCTCCCACTCACACTTAAGCTATGCATGGCCCTCGATGCATATAAAAATGTAAAACAGAGTAGGGTGAAAAGAAAAACTCCCTGTCAGTCGAAGTCCTCCTCCGCAGCATGCCCTCCATCAGCAGCTCTGGGCACATCATCATCCGGTCCTAGAGGCACCAAAGCCATGGGCCCCGTAGCATCATCCCCAATCTCATCCTCAGTGTCTGAGCCCTTGACAGAGTTGGCGTCCTCCGACGAGTGAACGGGGCTGCCAGGTGCAATTCGCAACATCTCCTTGGACGTGCTCAACAAGTCATTGTGTAAATGCATACGCTCCTTGTCTGAAATACCTGCCCTGCTCATGAGTAAGTTCAACGAGTTATAGAGGTACCTATTGAAGTTCTCGTCTCGTTCAATCCGTGCTGCGGGAGTGAGTTTTGACGACGTCTCCAACAGAGATGTGATGTCCAAAAGCCCTGACGGAGCCTCCACCACCTCATCATATCCGGGGTACTCTGGCACTCCTCGGAATAGCATATACTACGTGAGTAAGTTGCCGAAGAAGAACCTCTTAATCTGTCGCCCAAATCTCGTGCGGGCCATCTCACCGAGCATAATCTCACCCACATTAATGGGTCTGCCAGTCATAAAACAAAGATGACACACTCTAGCTCGAGTGCAGTCGCTGCTGTGCTCCACTGGCATGAGTCTGGCTTGCACAAAATTCTGCCACACTTTGGCAGCCTTGTTGAAATCAGAGAGGAACCATAGAAAGGTGAATGTTGCCTTGCTTACTGGTCCACTTAGCATTGGAATCTACGCCACAAAGAGTGTGACGTATCAACATATATATTGGGCTTCTGACAAATTTTTGGAGTCTCCTCGGGTCAGCATTCTCAACCCCCAAATAGGCACATAAAGACTCTTTATCCATTGGCACATTCGTCCCCCGTACACGTGCAGTGCCCCATCCAGCATCCCAGTTAGCATAAAGTTCCCGAACTATGCTCAGATTTGCATGCCCGGGGCATTCCTGGAACTTGTTCATATTTAGTGCGCGGAGCCGGCGAAGTACCTCCGGGAAGTTTCTTTCTAAAGCCTTGGTATTAATTCCCATCTCTGAGATGTACCGTCCATATGGAACGAAGTCCCTGTGCCATGCAATAGTCGCATCATTGAACAAATCCAAGCGAGGCCTCGGTCTCAATGGCGCCTGCTGAGATCCCTCGACAACCTGTTTTCCTTTGGATTGCCGCGAAGAGCTTTCTCCCTACTTTCGTTTTTTTGGCGCGGGGAAAGTGGTGGAGGACTTTCCAATGCCCTTGCCTTTGCTAGAACTATCACGAGCCATAATATCCTGCAACACAAATAAGCATGAATGTAAGAACTCATCAAGAAATATGCCTAAGGTTATCGTGCAAGTCATGAAATGATCCCACACTTAAAACCGAAGGCACAACGTACAATACTTCATAATTTTTTATCTAACATCTACAAGTGTTACACTCCAAAGCTATGGGTACTCAAGACATCCCCATGCCACACAATAGTAAAGAGGCACAAATCAATGACACACACAAAAGTTATTGATTATGGCTCAGTGAATTCACCTTAAGGTAAGCAAGAGGCATATGTTACTCACCTTCTGACAACTATTACACTACACCAAATTAGCTAAATTCTACAACATACATTATATAAGATTGATGGTGTAGGAACATGTTTGCATCAAAACCAAGCTCCTAAGCATGTAAACGCTTCCCACATACCCCACACTTAGCCCAAATTCATATACACATATACTCGGTTACTCATACTTCACCAGTACACCACCATCTTCATTCAAGCATTTTAACAAACACCTTGTGGGCATAAAGTGTGTGCATTCTAATTCATCAATGGTGGAACATGGTGGCCCCAAAATTTTAGCGAAGTAGAGGGACTTCTAGTTTACTACTCCATATACACAATAACCACACAATTTCGACCACTTCAAGCCACCCACCATAAAAATTTCATAAGAACTACATATGGGGAAAAAAACTTGGGGATTAGGGCACTTGGGGGATGGGATGTACATTTTTATCTACTAATTAAAACACAAAAAGAAGAAGACAAGAACAAGAAGAGCATACCTGTAGACTTTAGGATGAGAGAAATGGAAAACGCGAGAAAATTTTGAGAGAGGAAAAGAAGAAGTCGCGGTAAAAGCAGCTGGTGAGAGAGAGGAACGTTTTTTTTTTCTTCAGATTTCTTGAAGTTGGGTGTTTTGAGTTTAATTGGGTTAAGGATGGATATGAGTAGTAGGATGGGTTATAATGTTAGTGGATATGGGTATATGGGTAGGGTTAAATGGGTATGGGTTATTGAATAAATAAAAGAAAAACGAAAATTAAAAAAAAAAAAGTTTACCTGTACCCCCAGCCCAGCGCTCAGCGCTATGCCTGGCGCTGGGGGATTTTTGAACACTGTTTTCAGCACCCCAGGTAGCGCTGGGCGCTGGCCTGGGCGCTATTTTCGAGGAATTTCGTTTTTTTATGACTCCCGATCCCCCGAGCCTTTTATATACCTAATTTACATGTCCTACAACATTCTACCTATAATTGTTGTGCCTATAAAGAAAATACAAACTTTATTCTACTCTAGCTAAAAAAAAATTAAGAAGCTAAACTATGAAAGCAATAAAAATTGGGCTGCCTTCCAACAAGCGCTTGATTTAACGTCGCGGCACGACGCAGGGCCTCGCTTACTCATCAGCGAGTACAACTTTGGTCTTCTGACGATCAATTATTCCTCCCCAATAGTGCTTAACTTTATGTCCATTCACCAAAAAATTTC